TGCTTTTGAATTCTAATTGCTCTGTGTCATCATCCAATAAGATTTTAAAGAAAGTCTACAATACTGGCCAGAGGTCCAGTCCTAACAATAGCATCTTCCCTAAGGCACCCTCTGTGTTGACAATCAACAATTAATGCTTACAAACCTTCCAGAATAGATTGTAGTAGACTGAAAAGGTGCTAGGCTGTGACTCTCATCCCTAAGAATTGAAACTCGTGACCATTTGTTTTTATACATTGTTTGCTATTGTTGACAGCAAATTTGCATATCGACTAAACACCAGATTAGAGTACGATTGTTCAATTTTACTCCTAATGCTGGATATTTTAATGAAAAAACTCAAACAAGGAAGAGAGGAAATTTGCATCCAAATTAGTCGATATGATGGGAATTCGCGTCTGAGTTTTCACCTGTGCAGCTGCAAGTGTTGGATCGAGCTTGCTGTACAAAAGAGTTCTGAAAAATATTGCTCGCAAACGAAATGGTATATTTTTCCACGCTTGAACAATAACAAATGATAAAGCATTTTCACGATATTGTAGAATAAGGAAATTTGAGAGTTTGAGAGCCTTAGGCTGAAGATGTTTTTTGAGAATAGAACCTTAATTCTCTAACCAGAAAGCGTCATAAGGGTTTACAAAACTCGCGATCTAAATAATAAACCACCAACTGAATAACCAACCGAATAACCAACCGAATTAACCTACTTTACGTGCCGATCACTTCAAGCAATGTCAATATAGCAATTGTATCATGCTTCAAAGAGCTTTAGATTGCAACTAAGGAAAAAAGGAATTTCTAGATCGATCCACGCAAAACTGACAAAAATCGCTATGCCGTAGAAATATGAATTACATAATAGTTGTACTTACTCTGTTGACATCTTTTTCATTGCTTCAATGTAGCTCTTCAAAAAATTCTCGTATCGATCTCTTTCCTTACGGTTGGTGCCATCCGGCTTCAGAGGAGAACCAAATTTCATTTCTGCTCGTAAGAATCGACTCTTCAAGTTATCCTTCGAAAAAGAGTCGTCGACAAACCAATACGTAAATGTTTTTGTAAGCAGAAGCTTTAAGGTGTTCTGAATGCTGGTTTCTGTAAGGTTCTTGATTACAGTACCATCTTCGTTCCTTCCCTGTCCGTCGAATATTTCTTTTTTGAGAAACTCAGATCGCGAGGGATAAAAGAAATTTATAAGAGAAATTGGAGGGACACAGTGATCATCTAGAAAAGGGTCAGCTCTTGCTTCTTTCCATTTCCAGCAGTAGTCGTTGAATCCCTGCTGCGACATAAGACTCTGGTCTATTGCATGGACGGTTTCGAGTCTTTCTTTAGTGAACATGTTCAGGTCGTCGTCCCCTATGGCAAGATAGACTAACTCCAACCTCCATCTCGGTTTTGTTTGATAAGAAGTCTTTTCTGTCGGTTTTTCGTCTAGAGCCCTCGCAAATCTTTTACGTCTCAAATTAGGAAGCTTCTTCTGCGTATGGGAATGGCTTCCAGCAACCTCAACCATGTCATTTCGTTCAGAACTTATATGTCCCGGGATTTCGAATGACTCTATAGATTTGTCTATAACCAAACAATCACCGTTATTGCAATCAGGAATAACCACAACGAGCGCCAAAGCGACGGGAATTAAAATTGCGAAGAACAAAACCAACGAAGAAACAGCTGGATGAACATAGACCCTCGTAACCCGGAGTAAAAAATTGTCAATACAGTAAGTTTTACTGTTACAGCGAGAGAGGAACGCTCGAAACGACGTGAATGAAGTCTTCGGTTGACGATAAGACAAGGAAGGCTCTGTTAAAGAAGGGTCCATCTGGGATTGGCCTCCACCAAATTCTAGATTCGCGTCATCATGCCCAACGAGGAGCTTTGATAAGTCATCGCTGTCTTTCCTCGAATGTCGAGCTTGCATGTTCATGTTGCTATGTTTCACAAATCGCTAGCTACTGTTGACCTGAAAACCTTCGTAACTCAACTAAAAGCTAACATAAATAGGCCTCAGTGTTTAGTGACTCTCAGTTCATCCTCAGAATAGGTGGTTTAGCATATTACATCACGAACGCTCTCACGATGTCTCGAACTCAAACTCAAACTATTTGTTTAGCCAGAGGTTATCTGACTAGAGCCGGGACTTTTGTTATGAACAATTCATCACGTGACTTGTATTTATTTTCGTTTTTGTTCGCGTGATGATGTAAGGGTCAAATTTCACTGAGAGGGAATAAATCTTCTCTCTACCTACGGAATTTTGCTAAAAATACGAGTTATTGTCTTACATGACAAAGAAAATGGATGTTTAATACAATATTAATTCAAGTGCGAATCAACATCGCTTCTGTTTGGTGAAAAACGATTTACAGCATCTGGCACGGAAGCACGAAACGCAGCTATGTCAATCGGCCAACAAAAGGCTCTTTGAAGTTTTCTCTTAATCATTGTTGATGAGAGGAAAGACGTAGGCTGGATTTTGGTGTGGTTATCCGGGGAAGAGTCAAAATCTCCTTTTGCAGTCCTTGAAATGTATTTGATGAATATTGAAACAAAAATGAAGTTCTTTATTCATGTTATTTGTACTTTTTAAATGTACAGATTCCCAAAATGAGATACTGTAAAAATATAGCCTTTGAATGACAGGGTGCGTCCATTAAAACCGCAAGAATAGATATCAGGAATGCGCGGACACTTGGTAAATCTTAAATTTCTCTCAGCCTAGCAACGATGAGATTACTCTGAAAATTAAAAGATGTTAGAATTTTTCATTTAAGTTAAACAGTGCAATGTTAGCAACATAAATTCATTGCCAGTGAATTAACATTGTTTTGTTTTGTTTTGTTTTGTTTTGTTTTTATTTTTTAAAATATTATTTATAGCCGAGACTCTTTAAATAGAAAACAAAGAGAGTAAACTGCTTCGAAGATTTTAAAAATATGCAAGCTGGTCAAACAAAATTAAAAGGCTTTAATTCCATTAAACTAAAATTGAAATCTGAGAAAGGACTGGTTAGGCTTCTAAAGTCTCATGAAGACGTCAGTTTCCTTTGCTGTGATTAAATCATTTCAATTCCTTCAACTACGAGTTGTAGTCGTCTGTTCAGTCTCCTAGTTACGCTGAGAACTTCCTCCACTGCTGAAAAAAAAGATTCTTAGTCACGTCTCATTTAGCGGAAGAACACTGGCTACAACCCCTTCACCCTAATAGTGACTGGTATCTAATTTCTCCCTACACTGTATCCCCGAATTCAACATTTAAGGTCACGAGAATAAAGAAAATGATCACCGACTAAAGAAGCTCTTGATTGTTAGACAAATTCTCCTTGCTAGCCCTGTAGGAAATGTATAGAGAACAGTATGAAGAAAATGTATACTGATGTGAGGGTGTGAGGGGTTAATCCGACTTCAAAAAATCCTTAGGCGCGAAGACGCGCCGGCGCCGTCAACTGCCACGGTTGGTGGTAACTATAGAGACCGTCCGCGGTCAACCCCTGTTTTTGTTCACCGAAGCTTCTTTATGACCTTGACTTAAATGCAAACCGGATAGGAACATTTTACGAGATGATTACGAAAAAAGCGAACGGGAAATATGTAAGCTGAGAACCGGAAACGCTCTCTGAGATCCTTTAGGTCTTCCCAAGGGACGGAAAGTTCAGTTCATCGATATAAAACCCATTTTCCTTGCGTCTTTTGCAAAACACATCGAAATCATTCGTGAAGGACTCCTTGTGCTCTCTCACAGTGTGAGCGCAAGATTGTGAAAAGAGTGTGACCCAATTTTCGAGTGAGTTCATTTCTTGTACTCCGTGATGCCCAGTTAACGCGTGAAATGGTTGTTACGTACGTCGATTAGCGGCGTCAACTTGTCGCTAAAGAACTTTCCCCGACTAGGCGTTGTTTTAGTTCCAGCTGTGGTAAAAGGACTGTTTCACCTTTGTTTTTACATTTTTCCTTCGCTTCATCAAAAAGGAATAAAAGAGAACTTGAAAACGTTAGGAACGTTCTACGTGAAAGGTATTTCAAGTGACTTCAGTGGTAGACAAACATTAACCATCTGCTGTTAAGGGAAAAACAATTATGACAAATGTTCGGTAGGGGGTCCTAGTCGATTTATGATGGTTATACAGGGGGGTAAGCCTAGAAACCAGGGTCATGATAATTTCTTTCACAAAATATTAAGTGAAGCCGCTACACTTCTCCCCACAGGCGGGCAATTTGCGATTACGCAGTTATAAGCAGAGTTTTCACAGGGAGGTGGTACAAAAACTCGCACATGGCAAAGGAGAAAATAATAATTTGGAGGCAGCATTTCGCTTGTAAAACAGCCGGCACGCTGAAACAGAGAAACAAGTTTTTACGATCCTTTGATGATGACAGGCTTGAGGGCAGTTTGCGATTGCGCAGAGTTTTTTCACAGGGGGAGGGGGGGGTGTCGAACAAAAGGGTGTCCATAGAATTTGGGAACGTGCTATTTTTGAGGTAGCATCTCATGGATGTAAGGACCAACATGCGGGCTATCATCTGGCATTGTTGCCCGTTTCTAGGCATCACCCATCGTCACGACATTTAACTGCTCATTAGTAAGCATCAACCACCGTCATTACCCGTCAATCCACGTCATCACTCATCATACGCTTCATTGGGTATCATTCACTGTCACGAAGCATTATTCCCATAATTGAGCTAAGCTGATCTCGACTAGGCATCATTCAGTCTCAACGATCCACACACTACCACCTAAATCCGCGAATGATTTCTAACGTATAGCAGTTTTCATTTGGGTTTAACTCAAACACTAAAATGAAAACTTGCTTCTATGTATACCATATTGGAACAACATTGCCAGATTACTCACCACATCAGAACACCATTGGCAGATCACTCACCATATTAGAACAACACTGGTAGATCGCGTCTTGAAGGTGAACATAGAATTGGTGTATGGCCAAGAAAAGGGAAACCAGTTATTCAGTTAAGTTATTCCAAATCACAACGAACTCAAAGAAAATATTTTCAGCTATATTAGGGCTTGAGCTTTTGTTCGCCATTTACAGTTTGTACAGTCCACATTTCTCCACCGCTCCACGCGGTCGCCGATTAAAAATTCGCTACTCGATATTTGGTCTAACATATAAAACAATTTGTTTCTTTTTTTTTCTGTTTCGAAAAAGGCCAAGGCGAAGCTTTGTCGCCACCTTTGCATTTGTTTAAAGGTCTCATTGCTAGTCTTCGACAGTCTGTATTTCTCCCATGTTCACTCGATCCGCCGCATTCACGCTGAATCCCAAAATGCTCGGGTCCACTTTCTGCATCTTTTTCTTTCTTTTCTTCTTATTCATTGCTTCCTGAGGATCCTCTTGAGGTGGACCCGATAGGAAGGCGCCTGATTGGGTCATATTCGTGGGCCTGGCTGCAGATGGTCCCCGAGGAACAGGTGCACCCCACACACTTGCCTAAACGGAATAACCAAACAAAAACCTCTTTGCAGTTTGGCCTTCACTAAACTTCAAATGAATACAGCGCGTAAATTTCTAAAGTTGTGCTGCGTCAGTAAGTGGTATTACAAGACAACCTGGTTTTATCAACTCCCGCTTTTCCGGAGCAGTAGGCAGAAGGACTTCCGAGAAACAGGCCTCTAGTTACATATCTTTCCAACACTTCTCGTTAGTTATTACGGAACTTAACCACACACGTGTAGGAGTCGCGCAAGGCAGCCAGAAGGCAGATTGCTTTCTTTGAAGCAAAGTGCAGATCATTTTCTGTTTTCTTTTGTTATACAAACTAAAAAAAAGGCTTACAGTTGATTTGTTGTTATAATAGGGCGCCAGAAAGAGTCGCATTCTCCCTTCGGTCATCCGCTCTTAAGGCTCTTTACGCGCCATTCAACACTTACTTGATGTTTTACGACGCGAAATTGGTTACACTTACTTGAGAAAACGGTGGAAGAGAAGCAGGAATTTTGTCCTTTTGTTTCTTCCGTCTTTCGATGAACTCGCGAGCAAAATCTCTCGTTTCGCGATTGTCTCCTAAGTAAGACTTGACGTAGTCGTAAACCTAAGAGAAATTAGGAACCAAAGAAATTTAAAGATCAAAAACTACATTGAATTCCTTTCAATAGTAATACGTTTTCTTTCATATTTTCGACCTGCCGTCTGTTGCATACAAGTGTATTTTCGTCGAACTTTTTCTTCGTGACTGTCACTTAACCCGGCCTTTATCTCCCATGAGTGACTCAGACAGAATTTGTCCTAACAATATTGATACACTATTAAGCAGACAAGTGATGAGAGTAAAGGGAAAAAAAGAGGCAATTAGGGGATTATACTTGATCTCATACTAAGTTCTCCGTACTAATGCCATAAGAATTGTACGGCACACAGTTAGGAGAGCTACTTAAGAGACTTGGGCAATGAGAAGGTAAAACAAACATTATGCTCCGGAAACCATACCATTTTCTTCTCCGCCATAAAAGCGTATTTCAAAACATCTACTGGGTATTCACTTGTTGAGATTACTAAGAGTAACCTAACCCTGCTAAAAATGCCTTCAAATGTGCGAAGCTTTCGACCATGGACGCCGTTATTTTGACAACAACTGTCACCTGGCCACAGCTTCTGTTCCTCTTGCCGCAACAGTCATTAATAAGCCAAAATGTAGGAGATAAAACTATTAGGTTTGTGTATCACACACTCCTCTGAGAAATAACTTCGAACTTCGTCCAAACTCAGTACTTTGTTACAGTCGGCCCTGTTTGTTCGAAGAGCAGATAACGCTATCCACCGCATAAATTTCTATCCGGTATAGAGCGCATATAAGTGTTTACTTAACTCTTATCTGATTTATTTATCAAGTAAATTTATCCGGCTGTCCTTTGAACAACCGGGCCCTAGTGTTTTCAAATTCAGCTGAGCGAGGATGTCCCCTTATTTTTTCCTATTAAGTCTACGATCACCAAAAAACTAATATGAACAGCTGTACTTGCCTCATACGGTGATTCCACATCACTGAGAAATGCCGAGAATGTTGGAACTAATAAAATAATAAACAGGTACTCATTAGTTATTTATGGTTCAGGCGCACAGTAATTCAACGAGCCGCTCAAGAGTAACTCACTGTCAATTCCTGAAGCGATATTTAGGCTGCGGAGCGCTTGGTCACACCAAACAGAAAACTCGTCCACACTGGGTTGACTGTGGAAAAGCCGTCTCAAGTTTTCCTACAATAAACAACACAATTAACAAGGTTTTTTTTTTTCTATTCTATTTTTTTGTAGTCTGAAAAGTAATAACCTCTGTTGCTTTGATTGACATTTGCTAAGCCATGATTGGTCCCAAGATCAACACAAGCGTCATTACCCAACCAATCAGAGGTAGAACCACAACCGCGTTTTCCCGCTCTTTTTCCCAGCGTGACAGTTTTTCGCGTTTGACACCAGCCATTCACATGTTTTCCCGCGCTTGGAGCTGGTAGCATATTTTCCGCGCTTGAAGCGGTTCAGGTATTTTCCAACGTTTGGTCAAAGCTTCGGAATTACAAACGATTCCAAGCTTTGCTATCATCAAATATAATGTCAAGAAAAAACCAGAGGATCCCCTCCACTTACTGTGATACAAATTATCTTCACTCACCTCGTCTCTATTAGCTCGCTTATCAGACGCCATATTGGTCTGAGGTTGACTAGAAAAGGAAAAAAAGGAACGACTTCACTGCATAAACGCTCTACTGACTAAAAACTATTTCTACCGATTACATAACGTTAAAGCCAAGTATAAAAATCTTTGTGAAATGAGTACTAAATATTCAAATTACTATTTATATGAAAAAAACGGAGTCATCACACAATCAGATATGTATTTATGATGTCCAACTGAACATGAAAAATTTCTGCTCGGCCAAAAAGGTTAAGTACACGACTTGGGGGGCAAAAACCACACCAAAATCTTGTTTTTTCTTAGACGTAATTTCTACCAAACGTTCCCGTGTATAGTTCATGTACTACTGGGCCAACTTTAAACGTCGCACACTCAATTACTCAAACGTAACAAGCCAAAAATAAATTGGTAAAAAAATAAAAAAAAACCCATTTGGTTTACACGGGAAAGGTGAATTCGACACTTTGATTCAAATGTAACACTTTCCAGTTGCTGGATAAAATGCCTAAATTAGTAAAATAAATATTTTGCTTCTTTCTCTAGGGCACAATTTCGACTAATTGAATTCAACGTATGAATTAACCGTCGAAAATTATCATTTGGGTCGACCACGAAGGTTTTAAAGAGGGATAAGTTTCCGAAGAAAATTGAGATGCCGAGTGGGTGGGATATTACAGGATAACTTGGTTTTATCAACTGATTATGTAAATTCACCACCGTGGAGAGTTTCCAAAGCTAACGTTTTGGGCGTTAGCCCTTCGTCAAAGCGAAGAGTTTTAAGTTCGATGCGTGCAAGGCCCTGCGAGACCAATGTCAGTATCTGAACAACTACACACTTACCCCCCCCCCCCAACCAAATTAACCCTTAGTTGTCATCAGTTGAATGTTTTAGGGTTAGGGGAGGGGCAGGTATGCAGCTGCTCAGATACTGACATTGATGGGTTGTACGTTCAAAGTGGACCTTACTCTCTCAAGTAACCTCACCTGGCTTTTTGTTGCTGTCGCTGTTGTTGTACAAACTGTTGCTGTTGTTGTTCACGACTCTTACTCGCAGCTTTGACGGCATCATCCCAGAATGCTCCACCTTCCTCATCGCTGTCGTCGTCATCATCGTCTTCGTCGTCGTCTTCGTCATCATACTGCTGCTGAGGAGGAGGAGGAGGCTTGGATGGTGTTGAGCCCCAGATGTTAGCTGAATTGGGAGCTGGTCCCCAAGATGCTGAAAGGTGTCCAGCATTCCCCCACACTGACGAACTGAGAGGATTGTGACTCGGCTGAATAAAGACGAAAAGGCGGAAAGGTTCAACACAAGCACTACAAGACAGAGTATCCTCTGGGATCGTATACGTTATCGAGTACAAAAGTGTTGAAAAACTACCCGATTGGCCGTTGCGATAACCGCGGTCTTGTCTTTTCGACACCCAATTAGAAACTGCCCCATCTCCTAAACAGAGCAGTTTCCCTACCTGTGATCTCGACAAAGCAGATCCCTGCTGCCTTTTGTTCTGTTGCTGGGCCTGCTCCTGTTGTATCTGTAGCAAAGACTTGACAGGCTGATTCACCACAGGTGGTCTTTCACCCCACCCTGGTACACCCCGTGTCTGTTGTTCCCTTTTCTGCTGGGCCTGAAGCTGCTGCAGTTTGAATTCCCGCTGCACCTTGTCTCTTTCCTCCTGCTGTTGAATCTGGGTTAGGGACATAGTACCTGACACAGGGGTAGGAGAACCCCACAGAGACCCTCCTGACGTCTGCATAGAGAAACAGACAGACAAAACGGTGGTCAAACGTCTGTACATGAGCAAACGTTGAAACCGCTGACAGGTGGCCAAAATGGCCGCCCAACATCATGCCGCTTTCAAGGTGTCAAAATTACGTTATTCCATGAGAGTTATAACGGATCAATGTCAGTACCCGACCAACAGCGCACCAACCCCTCCCCTAACCCAACATTTACCCGAACTTGTCTTCAGTTGACTGTTGTTGGGTTAAGGGAGGAGTAAGTGCGCAGTTGCTACTACGATACTAACACTAACCGTTATAAGCCAAACCTGAAATTGGCCAAAACTTCCTCAAATTTCCTGTCCCTGTTCCTTTAATATGTCTCATACTTAAATCAATTCTCCGCGCAGGTAACCTCTCTAAAAAGGCCTCTTCCCACTGTCCTCAAAAGGCAGCCGTTGCAAAAAGGTCAGCCTTAATTAAAAATGACCTTCTCACCTGACTTTCCTGTCTCTTCTGGTGCAGTTTCTGCTGCAACTCCCGCTGTTGCAATTCGGCTTTTATTTGCAAGTCTTTCTTTCTCTGGAGTTCTTGCTGTTGCTGCTGGAGTCGAAGAAGAGCTTGCTGCTGCTGTTGCCGTACCTCGTGTAGTCGCTTCTGCTCCGCTTTCTGTTGCTCAAGCTGTTGCCGTTGCTGCTGTTCTTGTTGGCGTAACACTTCCTGTTGTTCTTGTTTCCTTCTCAGCTCTTCTTCTTGTTTTCTTCGCGCTTCTTCCTGTTTCTTAGAAAAATGATAAGAGAGACTTCAAATACTGTCATTTGCAGCTCAAGAAGTTTTCACCCTTTCCACCCTAACATCAGTATGCAAATTCTCCCGACTGATCTCTAATACATTTCTTGAGGTGCTTACAAAGAAAAAATTGCCAACAATCTCTAGCTTAGACGGTTAAGAATATATGAAAGTCATATATTTGAACTGCGGATAAAGACGTGGATGAAAGTGATCCTCGCAGTGATGTGCACTACTTAGGCAGTAGTGAAAATAAGGCCTGAAATTCAAATATATGGCTTTCATGTATTCTTAACCGTCTATTCATCACTTCACGGGTTTATTTAGAACCACCATCATGACCAGCTCCCAGTTGGCTTGTTAGCTCAGTTGGTAGAGCGCTGCACCGGTATCGCCGAGGTCATGGGTTCAAATCACGTACAGGCCTGAATTTTTTTTCAGGCCTTATTTTCACTACTGCCTAAGTAGTGAACATCACTGCGAGGATCACTTCCAAATCTCTAGCTTCTTAAGTTAGTAATCATTTCCAAATCCCTGAACCCAGCCATATGCATCACACACCAACCTTTCTGAGTTCTTCTTGTTCTTTTCTTCTTCTCTCCGTCTCCTGCAATTGCCGTCTTTCCTCGTCCTCTTGTTGTTGTTTCTTGAGCATGGCTGCCTCCTGCGCGCGTCTCCGTTCTTCTTCCTCTTGCTTCAGTCTCATAGCCCTGGCATTAGCTTCTCTTCTTTCCATTTCAAGCTGGATAAGAAAGGGGAATATGGCAAGAAATAGGCTCCAAGATATGACACCAATGCTAGCGAATCAACAAAACTATAATAGCCTTACCCTTGCCTGCTTTTCTTTCTCTTCTTCCATTCTCTGTATTTCCTCAAAGGATGGAACATTCTGTTGGCTAAAAAAATGGAAGGAAATGTTGAAAAGGCAACGGTTTTAACGAAAAAAGAAAGGCGCATCCGTAAGTGTCATTTTAGTAAAAATTGAATAACATCAAGTTCCAAAAAATATATTTCTAAGAAATAGACCGCACTTTCTATCGCTTTACTGCCGTCAAAACCCACACAGAATGTTAGGAAAACACTTGAAAAGGTTTGTAAATCGCTCGCCTTCGGCGTGTGATTTGCAAACTGTTCGAGTGTTCCCCAAGATCTCAAGTGAGTTATTACGCTAGTAAACTGACAGAAAGTTTGATTTATTGCCTTTATAAACAAACTTCAATTTTCTATGGGTTTGCCAGTGCAATAAACGAAAAGTTTTGACCAATCAGAGTGCTTGTAGTATATCAGTTTTTTAAAATGAAAACCAATTAACACTCTTTATAATTTGCCCGCAATATCGGCTTGTCATGGAATAGAACCCAACAAAGACAGGAGAAAGATTCCTGATCGATACATGCAGAAGAAGCCAAAGTGGAAAGCTCAGCACCTAGGACACTCAAGACAACTTTACCTATTTTCTGTATCCCAGCCTTTTCCAGCCGATGTTGTTGTTACAGGAGACCAAGGACCAGGTGCAATGATAGCTGTAGAAAGAGGAAACTCAATACAATTTCTAGATAATCTCCGAGTTTTCTTACTATTCATTTTTTCAGCCTCTTATTTATTCTTCTTTCAAAACTCTATGCCATACTCAGAGGTGCAACTTAGATTTTCTAAGGGGGGGGAAGGGGGGTTAGGAAGGCCATGGTCACCAAATTTTGCTCTAGCACGGGAAAATGGTGATACCATAAAGATTGATCGTTTGTTGCAAGTTTTCATCATCTCAATGAAAAGGTTTGTATGTTGCTGACTTGAAAACTAGTGTGTCCCTAACAAATCAGGAAAATTTTTAAAGCAATGAGCACCAAAAAGGGCAAGGTCAAACTTACAAGGAGAAGCTTGGGGTGGCGTTCCAGTGCCCCAGATTGATTCAGCGTGCGGTGACAGAGTTTGGGGTCTTCCTTGTTGGGGTTGCTGTTCCAAGTGATGGACTCCTGCCTGTTTTGCCTGAGGTTGACCATGCTGCGTCATAGGAGATGAGCTGTTTTGTGTTGGGGAATGCTGAGGTGGTGGTGGCATCTGCTGCATCTGTTGCATTTGCTGTTGGCTGTGTTGCAGTTGTTGTTGCTGGAAGGAAGAAAGAAAGAGAGACACCAACATCATTTTGTATTTTAACATGCTGAAGTATCTTAGTTATTATGGTAGCTGATGATATAACTATGTTTACATCTTCTCAGAGCTACGAGGCCCCACCCTACCTTGCGAGTAAGCCCTAATTATTAACCTTGGAAGGCGTATGTTTTTCTGCCCAAAGATTTCAAAGGGGAGAGGTTTGCCAGTGTCTGGCTCTAACAGTGAGGATTAGCAATGCTAGAACCCTTGCAGACCTCTCTGTCTGAGGCTCTGATAAGACTGACAGACTGACAAACTTGGAGGAAGACTATTGAGGTAAGGCTAGAGAGGAAAGAACAGACTCAACCTAAAGATGACTTCATTCTTGCCATACCACTATCTCTGCTCTGTTTGGTCTGTTGTTACTCTACCTGCATCATCATTGCTTGCTGATGGAACAGTTGCTGTTGAAGGTAGTGTTGCTGCATCAGATGTTGGTATTGCTGTTGTTGGGCTAAGATCTGTTGCTGTCTCTGAATGTGTTCAGGAACAACCTGCAACATCACAGATGAACAGCTCTTTAGCAATTACAATATACAACTAAAAAGCAGTTCAAGGCATGCAATTTAAGGTAGCTCTAACACATCTAACTATGAACACAGTTGACTAAATTCTTCCTAATGAATGCTTAAATTGTAAATAAACTCATGAGCAAAGCTGAAAGGTACAAAATGTTGATTTAACACTAAAGAAAAGTGAGGCTCATCAAACCCTTATTCCAGAAGAGTGATAAGCATCTAATTTCTCCTAACAAAATCACCCCCTTGATCAAGCATCAAAGTCACAAAAATAAATGAAATAATTGTGAACTTATGAGGCTCTTGACTGTTTAACAAATTCTTATTGTATGCACCTCAAGAAATGTATATAGAACAGTATGGAGAGTATGCATACTGATGTTAGGGTGTAAGGGGTTAAATTTTGGCTTTTTAGTAGCACCCTTGTGAGATAAACACAAAAATTCTTACCTTACAGGGAGGCGGCTGAGGACCAGGGGTGAAGGGCACTCTCCCCCATTGTTTAATAATCTCGCCTGCCATGTCACAATATTTGCAAATAATTGGAAAGAATTACAGACAGCTTTGTGTTAGTTACCTTGTGCACAAACCTATTGTCCAAAACACATATACAAGTATCCTATATATCTGACAGATTTGTTCTTTTGTCACCAAACATTGCACACATAGTACATCTTAGTAAAACTATTGATGCAAGGCAGGTATATGAAACCACTATAGTAACAAATTATCTCTAGTTCATGTTCTGTACTCCAAGAGAGCTTGGGCACTGTAAGCGTAGGTAAAAAAACTGTTTGAACTTAGTAGATTGTCTTGATAGCTTGTAAAACCAACATATAACATTTCACAAACATATTGGCAGTATCATGAGTCCTCACAGAATGAAGTTCCTCACCAAGTGGTTGGAAAATCTCATCAATAGTTCGTTTGACCAACAATCCCATTGTGAAGTAACCATGACTAAACCAGTCTGCCATCTCAGAGTTGGAAAATGGACCTGTTTGAAAAATGCCCCCATTAATGTTTGGGTAACTTGCACATACAGTACTGTTCAAAAGTAGGTAAACAGTCCCTCAAAACTAAATCCTCAATCCTTCACTTTCAAAAAAGCCTCAAGGATCAAAGCTTGAGTCGAGTCTAGATATGCATAATATTAGTTTTGAAACCTTTAAACCCAGTTTTGAGATATTTGTGTTTGATTTGAGATGAGGAAACAAAGGAATTTATGCCCAAGAAATTTTCACATGACTCAAAAATTTGCTGCCTCTTGTCTAACTCACAGGATAAAAATCATTATAACCTGCTTCCTTGCTGATGAAGCAAAACTTTGCTCAAACTACTTGCAGTTCTGATTTTTTTAACAAAAAGCTCAAAATTATCTTATTTTACTATCTGCAGGATCCTCTTCATTGTCTTGCACCTGAAAGTTGTTCATAATTCACAGTGGTAAAGTTACAGAATTACATGAGCCACTCCGTGCACCATCTGGTTCCTGACTGCCAAAACAGATAACTTACCTTGCACTTTGCCCTGTGGATCAGTGTAACTCCATTGCACCTCTTCTGTAGTTGTTGGTGAACTGCGATATTCCTGCTTCTGCTGTGTAGTAGGTTGTTCCCCTTCTTTTAAATCCTCCTGTTGAAAGATCAAAGGAAATGAAGTTTTTTTTACATTATACATGTATGTCCTATTGTTGAGAGAAATAATATGGATGGTTAGGTTCTATAGTAAATTCAACTCCAATTTTTACTGGTGGGGAAACAGTCAGCATGCATGAACCTGCAGCATGCTTGCAGTTAAAAACCCAAGTCCTACTGTGGCAAAAATGGTGTAGTTCTGAAGACTTGACACCATCAAGTAGGCAGTTTTTTTTGTTCTGTTGAGAAATTGCTAAATTGTATCTGATCACAAATTACCTGTGCAAACTTTGTAGCTAATGAAGCTTCATGGAAAACAGTTTTTGTAATGAGAATCTGAAAGTCTCTAATTTCTGGATAAATTAATCACATCCACCAGAAATGCTATAATATCAAAATGCACCATGATTTCCAATACCAACCTCCTTTTTTAGGAAGGGATAACATGCACTTAAAATCCACACAAACTTGTTTCTACCATGAGCAGAAAGCAGCAGAAAGAGAAATACTACATGGATCTTATGAAATAGAGATTTAAGGCCACAAAATTGTTACCCTACCTCTTCATCATCATCTAATGAAGCCACAAGGTTTTCCGCAGCTTGTGCAAAATGGTCCATGTTAGGCTCGTCTTCTTTCAGACTGCCAGCAGCTTGTTCCAGCATTGTTGAGGATGTGGTGATGTGAGCTTGTGGAGGTACATGGGCGAATGGTTTGTTAGGTGCATTGGATGGAGTAGAATTAGGTGTTCTTTGCTGTGAAGTGGAGGAGTGTGATGGAGATGGAGGTGGTGAAGTTGTAGTTGAGGGAGAAGGTTTGCATGTATCTGTTGTTTGATGTGTAGAAGGTGGTTTAGCGGCTGGTGGTTTTTGTTGTTCTAATGTTTCTGGTGGTTTTCCTTCACTGACAGGTCTTGTTCCTAAAACCCATGATAAATAGAGAGGTCAATCATAAACTACAAAGCATGGAGAGGCAACTGACCATTTTGAAAACATAAGAGTAGGGATAGGTTATGTTTCACACTATGCCAAGAGCATAACCCAACTCAAAATTTACATATGTCTTTTGGAAGCTTTCAATACAATTAAAATTACTAAGAGGTAGATTACTTCTAGTAACAATACACAGTTTACACCAGGTGACAGACCTGAGTCAGAGTGTTTTGTTTGGACTGCATCCTTGTCCTCATCATCCCAAACATCTGGTGGTTCTTCATCATCACTTTCAGACTATTTACAACAGAAGCATGTTGGCATTTAAAGTCACAACAAGGAGAAATACACCCCAGTAACCCACCACTAAGAATTTTATTTTCAAATCTGATCCATGGCAACATACATCAAAGCTGACATACCCCCCCCCCCCCCCCCCCAGCATTTCATCAGACTTTCCTGATAATTCACCAATACTCATTTATACTCCTGGGTGGACAGATGCACTGTGAAAGTGACATGATTCGCCCATGAACAGAGCATGATGAACTAGCCAAGTCTGGAACCCAGACCTCTAGACCCACATTCCAGTGCATGAACTACCAGGCTACCACATCTCCCATAACAAGTTATCCATGAATAATCATTAGAACTGAAGTTAAAGAATAATAAAAAGAGGCAACAAAATATCAAACAAATGGGTCAAGTTTATGTAAATTCTTTACAATTATCTAACCTGATTTCCCATATTTTTATCTCTATTTTCAACATATTTTCTCTCATCTTTACTTTGGCTGTCCTCTTCCTTTTGCTAACAAAACAAAACAAAACAAAACAATGTTTTCAGTACCATGGGAGAGGTGGTCCATAAGTAAACATGTTGAATCAAACAGCAATTATTAAAGAATAAAACTTAAAGAATTTCCCTCCATTGTATGTAATCCAAATTTTAATACAATGCATTGACTGCTAGATTCCACTGTCCTATGTATTCTGTGATTTTTTTTCCCTTCAGGTACCTAATGACTTGTTCTGTATGTCAAAATTTCAGAGGGTTTGGTCCAACTCCCAACACACTGAAAGCAAATTACACTAGCATGTTACCTCCCAAAGTAACACAGTACAGCACACAGCATAGACAATGGTAAAAGCACTCAAAAAGTTAAATAGGATGAAAAAGACTTTTTTAGAGATGGAGAAGACATAACAGGCTACCTTAGACACAAATGCTCCTGAAGAATCAAATGTGCCAGGAGTTGTAAAATCTTCATTATCATCATTACTCCATTCAGGGAGCCTGTCATAAGATGAGCCCCACCGAACATCTTCATTATCATGATAAGACCGACGACTGCCACGTGCTGTTTGCCACTCGTCATCAGGATGACCTCGTTCTCGATAGGACTCTGTTCCCCCTCTCCAGGATGCACGGCCTCTTGATGGACCACCTACAGAACAATATGGAAACCTTTTGATTTTTCTGATTCTGATTCCCACTGCTCACTATGCAATATGTACTCTTACAACCTGCAGGTGTGTGCAGTGTCCTTCTCTGTTTTACAGGCAGGTAGACAATTAACCCTTGAACCACAGTGAGTGATGAACATGTAACCCAACCCTATAACATCCTTGCATTATCCAGCAAACAGGAAATAAGAATATCTACTTGAACTGATCAAGTAGTTTTTTTCTTGATCTGAAACCAGATTCTTGTAACTGATTTACAAGGTAATGTGTCTCAGCTAAATGGGAGATTTAACAATCAGATCCTTGAAAATAAATGGAATGAATAAGAACCCTCATATCCAAAAAAATGCAAATGAATGAAACAAAGCATCATTAACAAGCCCCACGCATGTGGGGAAATGACAAGTACCTTCTACTGTCAGGCAGTTGCCAAACATAAATCCTTAATAATAATGAAAAAATATAACTAATTAAAACTACTTTCTTGAGTCCATCCATCACTCACCTCCTCTCCATTTGTCAGATCTGTCAGAGGACCGCTGTCCAGATATTCTCCAGCCATCATCGTCATCACCAGACCTCCAATTGCCGCTATCTGATCTTCTCTCTGCTCGTTCCCAAGATGTGTCACTCGAGAGGCGAGGTCGAGCTAAAGATGGATCATACCCTCCTCTGCCAGGACCAGATGGACCTAAAACAACCAGGCAGAATGATCAATCAGCATCAGTGATGCAGATGTAAAATAACACTCAAGCTGTTGTTCTCTGAATGAACCCTTCCCAAAACAGGAAAAGCAAAATTCACCTATTTATAAATAAACAGCAATTCTGGTTACAGATGATGAAACTGTGATTTTCTCATTTCACAACTTAGATAAGAACTGCACCTTCATCAGGAAAAACAAATTGAAGCAAAAATGTACTGCCAGTTTTGAATTAGCTTTATTTAGGAGCAAAGGGCCATCAGGAGATTATTATCCATGATCTTCAACAGTTTTCCCTGTCAGATAACAAAAATACCCAACCTGATTCTCTAAGGCTTGGTGATCTCTCAAAGCTTCCACGACTAAAACACAAATAGAGCAACTGTTACCATTGTAGAGGCCTTGCACATGTTTGATACCCATCAGAGAACAAACTGTAACTCTGATAACACAAGCTTTTAATCAACTAAAATTGATTCACTTCAAGTTGTTGAACAATCTCTTCTCTCGCATATTTTTAAGGTCATTACAACAGAATGCAGTGATTGAAGAAATAGGTTAGTGAAGCAATATTCTAACCTGTTCTCACTCCATCCCTGCCTGCGGGTCTCGCTGCCTCGTCCAAAGCCTGCCCCACCCTCTCCCCTGGTGTCTTCATATGATGTTTGTCTTGTATATCCCCCATCCCCCCTGCCGCGCCCTAAGAGAGAAGAAAGCAACAAACGAAAAAAGATAATTGTTACACAAAACCCTCAGAGAGCAACGGCTTCTCAGGGAATTTAAAGAAAAGGTGTGAATCAGAGAATGTGAAGTGTTCAAAGTAAAATTTGTAGTGCAACAGTTCACAACCTTAATTGGAGTATGTTAAGAATTCTATTAGCTCTGAGATTGTTTTTTCAAAAGATCACCTTTGGCCACCTTCAATTGTAAAATGGTCACCATTAAAAAAGTTTTGTACCTGGGAGTTACAGAATGATGAGGAAGAAAAAGAGAAGGAAAGAAAGGATGGCTTCTAAAGGAGATCTCATTTAACAAACAATATAAAACCAGTTAAAATACAAACCACATTACCTCTAATTCCACCCCTACCCGGTCCTCTAGGCGGGCCAACTCCTCGCATTGCACCACGACCCATTAACTTCAAGACAGCATTACTGTTAACAGACCCAGCAGAGTTTCTCTGAAAAAATGAAATACATTTTAAAAAAAGAGACCAAATGAATCAAACATCACTTAAGTGGGGTTGTCAAGCTTTATTTCTGACAAAATCTCAAAAACCAAATTGTACATTGACAGAGGTCAATTATTAAATTTGACTTGAGAAATTAATTTTGTCCAATAGTCAGAGATAAACACTAACCAAGTTCAAGGTCTGAAATGAAGTAAGTTTTTCTGCTTGGATTTATGGCCTAGGCCATAAATCTGAGCAGAAAAACTTGGACCTTAATTCACCATACTGATGGAGAAATTGAGGTTAGGGAGATATTTATTATATCTCTGGGTTCATAAAGAGGGGGAGAGATTTCAACTCAGACAAAATTTTGAGTTTTGCAGGTTGTATGGTGAAATATGACCCACTATATTGACCAATTATAGTGAGAAATAAAAACATACAAAGAAAAATAAATAATGCTTGATAAGCATAGAGAGGCAATGGAAAAAAAGTAAAATAACAGCTTGACATTATCCTCTAAATTATCACCAAATTCTTGAAGCTAAAATTTTAAGAACTTCATAGCAGACTGGGCAGAGAATTGACATGCAGAGCTTACAGGTGAAAGGGTTAAAATATTGTTATCATCAGCACCTGTTCCTCCTCTGTAAATTGTTGAAAAGCTAAAGGAAGAGCAGGTCGAGTTCTACAGATTGAATCAAACAACTGTAACTCTGGGGGCACCATGACATCCTCACTGAACAGCGCCAGCATCTCCTCCTTACCATACCGGTGCTCAGCAAGTTTGTACTTTGGCCCAGGGGAAGGTGGGGGAGAGGTAACACTGTTACCACTGGACAGTGCACGCAACCTGCAGTGAGCATTTTAAAGACATTCATGGGTTTAAATGCAGCAAATCCATGCAAAGTAGAATTTCAGAATTTCATGCATAATAATAATAATAATAATAATAATAATAATAATAATAATACTATGTTCAGGAGTTTGGGAAATAGTTTGGTCACAAGGCCTTTGCATTGTATTACAAGTAGAACTAGTTTTTTTTTTAATTGCTTCCTTTGGAAAGTGGAAAGAATTTACTTTAGCCTTGTCAAAAGTGAGTTCAACCTTTCATGAGCTGAAAATAATTTCCAATCAGCCAGCTTGCCTTAGGAAAAGGTACTCTCTCACTCATAAAAAGTACATCAATTTAATATCATTTGTAAGTCCCTGTAATGCAAATTGAACAGTCTGTTGTTTTTTTCTGGAAAAGAAAAACAACGTTTTCCAAGCGAAGCTAGCATTTAAACAACATTTAGGAGAAGCGCCAAAAAAATGTTATATAGTATATATAACGTATATAGTCTGAGGAAAAAAGGAAAAACTACACATAGGCTGAGTTATCAACAAAAATGGTGTCTCGCACTATTCACACCACATCAAAGCGCGTAACGTGTCGGAGTATCAGCTGATGTAAGTCGTAAATTAAATGCAAAGTGTGAGCGACTTCTGCTCACTACAAGAGCATATGTTTTAAATTGCCGTCGTAATTTCGTAATAAACCCATCCGTCAAAGAAAGAAGTAGGTCGTAATAATTTCAAATAATACCAATTAACATATTTTCCGCTTACCACTCCGGTCCAAACGTTAGAGTTTCCGACATACTGATTCCTAGGTGCAAAAAAAACAAATGAACAAACGTAAGATAAGACTGAGATTACGAGAGATTTTTATTTAGTGACATCAAATTTAAATAGAAACCGTTTTGACAAGCACAACAGGATAGGATTTCATTGCATGGAAAATTTTACTCAAATAGATCTAGCACAAACATATATACGTTCAAATCGATTAAAAATTCACAGTGTCTCGGAAGTACGGGAAAGGAGAAGTGAGTCCAGTTTGCTTCGCCCGCAGGCTCGGCAGCTTATAACTCCGACGAAGCCAGGGAGCAGGGAGAAAAGACAAGGAGTAAGCTTTCGCACTGCAATAATAGTACCTTCGAATATTGTCTTGTAGCTCTGCAAGAGCTTTGCAAATTCCTGCGTTCAAGTAAAGGTGAGAGAAAAATGGCGAACCTCGAAATTTACAAGTTTGATCACGTGGTTAGTTTTTTCAATTTTTTCCACATCGAGCATAATTTTACTAAAAAACAGCTGATCATTATAAACGTGGGCTTTGATTATTTACGTTGTCAGCGGATGTCCTCATCGGTTAAAGAAAGAAGTGAAAACTCACAGCGGCAACTGTAATCTGAAGTTTCTTTCATTCGATATTTCCACCGATCTGCTCTTGAAAAGCGTAGTGGTGGTGATGAGGAACTACCTCATACTGCTTTTGGTTTTCTTCCCTTACTATCTTTGCTTGGATGCTCTAGGACCCGATGAAGATCCGTACAAGATTTTGGGTGTAACTCGCTCTGCAAGCCAGGCAGACATAAAAAGAGCTTACAAGAAAATGGCGAGGAATTGGTAAATGCTTATGAAAATTTAAAGATCTTTGTTTTTGAATGGAATTTGTTTCATTTCTTAACGAGACGAGCGAATCTGTTTATCCAATCAAAGTGTTTATATAGCTGAAAGCGATTGTTATGATTTTTACATTCGATCCTCATGCGTTGAGAAATCTCAATTTCCAACTACACAAAAGAGTGCAGACGGGAGAAATAAATAAGCGCCAGGGACACTACCTGAGGAATGCACCTCAACAAGTTATAGATAATTGAGCTATAGAAGCAAAGGAATTGTTTAACTTCATGAAGCTAAATCTAAAAGCCTTTGGCATCAATTATTGTGGGCTTCCTTTCTTGACATGATAATACTAGATGAGATCACTTAATTTTTTTTAGTTTACGTGTAAAAAGATGCAACTGTTTGAGAGATTATATTTTTGATGCTACATATATAGGAGTAGTGCAATCTTAAAAAAAAAAATTTTTTCTTCCTTTAGGCACCCAGACAAGAATAACGATCCCTCAGCGCAAGAAATGTTTATCAAAATCAATGAGGCTAATGAGGTGAGGATGTAATTCTCTCTACTGTCTGCCATATAATTCTTAAGATGTTGGTTTGGAGAATGTGGTGTTGGATCAACTAAGAATCCCCCTGTTGATGTTTTTCTTTATTCTCATCAATTGTCTTCTTGATATTGTATAGATATTTTAACCCTTAGACCCCTAAGAGTGACCAGAATCCAATTTCTCCCTACATTAACTCCCTTGAATCAAACATTTAAGTCACAAGAATAGAGAAAATGATCATCAACTAAGGGAGCTCTTGATTGTTAAACAAATTCTCCTCATCAGCAGCTAAGGAAATGTATAAAGAACAGTATGAAGAATATGCATTCTGATGTTAAGGTGTAAAGGGTTTAGGAGAAATTCTATGACTGTAAATATATGAAAATCAAGTACTGCTCGTTACTGCAAAGATTGCTTTCATATTCATGAGAAATTCTATCTTGGTCACTCATGGGAGTTTAAGGGTTAAGGAGTCCCTAAGAAAAGTTTTGCCCCAGAGAGTGATGATAATGTAATCAAAATTTATACTGGGATTAACCTCAAGGCTCCTTGATACAATTTGCAATAATCAACTTTAGATAAAAAAAAAAAGCCTAGCCTGGGGGTCTAGGTATTAGGGTATCTGGGTTGTTTTTGACAAGGTATGCAGTTTTTCCATATCATATTACAGGTGCAAATTATCTTGTCTATTACTAGCTTAATAAAGAAATTTTTAGGTTACTTATCCATAAGTTTTAAAATTATTTTAAACTTTCACACTCCAACATTAGTATCCATAAACCCCATATTTTTCTCAATAAATTTCCTCTGGTACTGACAAGGAGAATTTTTTTTAACAATCAAGAGCTTCTTTAGAGATTATTTGCTCTCATAGGTTAAAGAGTTAAAATATGTTGATATCTCAAAGAGAAAAAAGTTTATATACCAGTATCCCAACTCTGATCTCTGTGGCTTTGATTTTCAGATTTTGTCAGATGAAGAAAAAAAAAGGAATTTTGATATGTTTGGAACCACCTCACAGCCAGGCAATGGTGGACCACAAGGAAAACCATTTTATGATCCGCACAGTGGGTTTAGCTTCTTCTTCAATGGAATGCCTTTTCAAAATTCTTGGTCCAAACCAGGAGAAATTAATGACAGATTTTACTACAAGACAGTCCTACCAGAGAGTTACGAGAAGCCTTACTTGATTGAAATTATCTCAGACTGGTGTTTTGCTTGTAAGTTGATTATAAGGTCATGATACAATATATGACACATCTCAATGACATGTTGCAGTAAAAACTCACTGCAAAGAATCTCTTTATGTGATGTGGAGGATTTTCTTGATTAATGTGGCTGGTTTGAATACATGTGAATTCATCTGACTGATTGTAACAGTGACACTTTATTGCACAGAACAAGATTTTCACGAAAATTCCTTGTATCCTGAGACAAACTTTCTCTGTGACTCCTTCCTTTGTAGTGTTGTAGCAACTTGTTTTTGAAGCCAGTTAACACACTGGAGCTTGTCTTCACCTAATGTCTTGACTTCATCCCTCTCACTTCCAAGATCTCATTTGTAATTCCCCTTACTGTCTTTGATATAATTCTTATGATATTGCTTGGAGAACTTGGCATTAGATCAACTAACAATCCCTTAATTGATATTTTTCTTTATTCTTGTCACTTGTCTGCTTGATGTTGTATTGATATTGTAAGGAGAAATTATGTCTTGGTCACTCATGGGAGTTGCGGTGTTAATTTACTGTTCCATCAAATGATATATAGATGTACATTAAGAATAGCTTGTGGTTTTTATTTTAAAAACAAAACAACAGACAAACCTTTCCCATTGGGGAAAGAACACTCGTGTTGCAGTGCTGATTTTGAGGGTATCTGGCAGACTACAAATTAACAAATTTTGTTTAAAAATCATACCAGAATTGGATCAATATCAGTATCTGGGCAACTGCCCACCTACCCCTCCCTTAACCCAACATTAACCCTAACTTGTTATCAATTGACTGTTGTTGAGTTAGGGGAGGGGTAGGTGGCCAGTTGCCCAGATACTGATATTGATCCCCAGAATCTTTTAATCAAAATTGCCTTAATCTTAATACATTGTAGACTCACATAACTTTGTGTTTTATTTTTAAAATTATCTTTCAATCAAAGGTGCACAAATTGAGGAGATATGGGAAGAAGCATCCAATAAAATAAAGAGAGTTGGTGTGGGAATTGGCATAATCAATGTCCACAGGAGTCTGCGTTTGGCAGATGCATTGGGTGCAGGAAGAGTGCCCTCAATCATTGGTGTCATCAATGGAAGAGTTGCGTTCTACAATGAAATAGTTACCGTGCAGGGTTTGAAGGATTTTGTACTGGAGTTATTTCCACGTGGCTTAATTGAAAAGGTAATTTTTTATTATGTACTGGTATTGTGCAGAGAAAGTCCTAACTCATTTACTCTCCCAGGAGTGAAAGGGTTAACCTTTACATCCTAACATCAAAAGGCATATTCTCCATACTGCTTCTCATACATTTCCCAAATTGATGACAAGGAGAATTTGCTTAACAATGAAGAGTTTCTTTAGTCAATGATCATTCTTGTGATCTTAATGTATGATTCCGCGGTAACATTGTACAAAGAAATTAAATGCTAATCACTCTCAGGGATCATTAGAATTCAGAATCTAAGGTGATATTGCTACTATCAGCTAAAGAAAAAACAGTATACACTTTTAGAATCCCTGATAATTTTATTCTTTAGATTTCAAAGATATAATAGTGGATTTTCCTATATGAATGTGGTAAACCGCAATCAGCTTTTTGAGATCAGTAACTACTAGTAGGATTTTTGAGAAAGGGTCTCTTAGTCTCCTAGTTAATCAATCATGGTAATGATTAGACCAAGAGATCTCTGTACTAAACCCACCCCACATTATCTTTTCAGGTTACAGCCAGTAGTCTTGATTCTTTCTTGACGACAAGCATCAGCAACAAACCAAGTGTGATTCTATTTTCCCCCAAACCTAATCCTTCACTCCTTTATCATCTGGTGGCTTTCAGAAATTGCAAACAACAGTCATTTGGCTTTGTATCGCTGACTGACAGCTCTTCAGAACCTCTCAGGAAACGCTTTAGAGTGAACTCTAAGGAACCAACAGTGTTGATCTTTAAGGATGATGTGGCTGTGCCAGATGTGGTTGTCATGGTAATTAGTTAGAGTTGAGAAGCTCTTTTATATGCATTTCTCATCAACTTGAAGATCAGTCATTTGTTATTGACTAAAGTAGAGATGCTGGGTTTAATCAAATGGGTGTCATATTGAAAATCAAAATATCAGTGTCTTTTTTTTCACATACCTTCATTAAAAAAAAAAAAAACATTTCTTGAAACTAGGTCATGGAAAGATTTCAGATGGTTTCCAACATGATTTAAATATTTTGATAAATTTAGTCAATGAAAACTGCACATCTTAGTAAAATTGTGTTGATAATTTTTTAATCTATGATTGAAAAAAAAATAGTATTGAGCAATTAGTTAGATCATAACTTGATTTGAATTTTCACTTGCAGGCATCTGAGCTCAAGCATGGAAAACTTCGTGAAGTAGTTGAATCTCACAAATATCTTCACCTTCCAAGACTGTCTTCAAGGTCTTTATTTGATGAACTTTGTCCTGAGGAGAGGTTTAGATCCCAGCGAAGGTTAGTTGCTTGCCTAAATAAAGCAGGAAAATGTGTTGAGCTCAAGTGAGGGTTAGGAAATTGTTTTTAATAGCTTTTGTGTATACAGTTTATGTAAAAGGTTTTGATTCCCCTCAGTGTCTTAATCATAAAACAAATATACATGTATCTACACTCCAAATTCATGTTACTATGTAAAACAACCTATGGTAGAATGAGCAAGGTAATTTTGTATCATAAACTGAGTTAATAACGTAAATTGACCACCGTAAAGAGTTTCGAAGCTGGCGTTTCGAGCCCTTCGTCATTTCTTTGATAAGGACGCATCCAAACCAATCGCTAGACACTTTCAATCTTCCCAATCATTCTAAGTAGCTTATGGAAGTTTGCGTTGCGGCTATTCCCATCATCAAGGCAGTTTGGATAGCGGCAAATCTCCAGAACAAAAATTTATCTTTCAAACTGGCCCTCTTAATCCCCTCGGTGTCAACGAACGCTTTTCATTCGATAAATTTATTCTTGTCTTTCTCGTTACCATGTTCCCACCAATAGCGTAGCTCGATTTTTTGCTTATAAACACACGCAAAACCCTTCAATTCCTACTTTCGCTCTGACGAAGGCTTAACGCTCGAAACATCAGCCTTTTAACTCTTTACGGTGGCCAATTTACGTTATCAACTCAGTCGATAAAACCAAATTACCCTGTTATACTCTCCCACCGACACAGCACCACAGTTTCTTTAGAAACTTACCTCCTTTATTCATCTTTCAGGCTGTGTGTCGTTCTGTTTACTAAACAAGGCCAAAATGACAAAGAGAAGCTTGCTCTGAGGTTGTTTGCAACAGATAAAAAATACCTCTCCGAGAGGCGGTTGAAATTTTTGTATATATACGAAGATGTGCAGAGAGATCTAGTGGAAGAGTTCAAAGATGGGGTGAAGGCTGATAGTTGCGCTGAGAATAAAACAGCATCAAAGGTAAAAATGAACAATTGTAAACTTAACAAATAGACTCCACGTTACTAGCTGTGTTTCTGTATAGTAATAGATCACAGATGGCCAGCAAAGTGTGATAAGAGGGAAGAACGTGGTATACGTGGCACAGCTGAATGGGTCGGTGATACTTATATCAGGATCACTTTCCATAACCTATTGGAAATTGCTCCAAAAGACGTATAGAGGAAGTTACTTTTTATAGTGTAAGTTGTCGATAGCTTACCTCCCATAAACTCTCCCTACCCCTTCTGGGAACTTGGAGGGTGTGGGAAGAAGAGGGAGCCTTGGAAAAAGGTTTCATAGCAATCCCCAGCAGGGCTCATACCCAGACCTCTGACGAAGGGCTAACGCTCGAAACGTTAGCTTTGAAAATCTTTGCGGTGACCGATTTACGTTATCAACTCAGTTAGTAATACTAAATTACCCTGTTATACTCTCCCACCGACGCAGCACCACAGTTTCTTTAGAAAATGACCCCCTTAACCATTTGTCTCTTAATTTAGAGCTAGCTACGTTTACCGTTAAATCGTGACATCTATTATGATGTCTCTTGATGTCTCATGAACTAACGATCTTATTTTCTAAACTTAAGGTCATAGTTCTCTGGAACAAAGGTCAAAAGCAAGTCAGGTACGACTGGCTTCCAGGGGGGTGGTGTGTGAATGAGTCAGAAGAGCCGCTGACCAAGGCTCGGCTGTCTGTCATGCTGGAAGATCTACTGTCTGGAGAGGGCAAGTTGCGATATACTTCAAGTATTCCACGGATCTACAATGAGCATGCGCCAGTGAGTACACTTGCACAAACATTGCATACATGTATATACCCCAAATGTTCCACTAACCCTGACCCCTCTCCCTTTGATAATTCCTCCACCTTCCCCACCCCAAAGAAAAATTGTTGTGCTAGATAGATATTTATACAAGGTAAAATCCTTCAGCACAATCTAAGAGAATAAAAAATCTAATTCTGCCTATCTAAACTAACTAACTTATGATTATAATACTATCATATCATCAAATCCGCTTTTCTAAGATGCCGTGTCTAATTCAAAAGCTATAATGACGTAGTTCATTTTTAAATTCGTTTTACATAACTGGTGATCGGAGTTCGCGGCCGTTCCAGAAAATAGCAACAAAGCCAATTTATTCTCAGAATTCCTCAGTTGGTATGAAGTAATATCATTTCGAGATTGGAAATATTGAGGGGTCGATCCATATAAAATCTTGCTCGTTATAACAGACGTAGCTACTAGTCTTTGAAGACTAAATTTTCGCCAAACGATTTCCTGGAACAGCTCGTCAAGATCATCTTCGTGGCTTGCATACAATAAAATACTGGCTGAACGGTTTTGGAGCTTCTGTAGTTTCTCCGATAGGCCAATGCCGCAGTTGCCTCGAACAACGCTGCAATAATCAAAATGTGGCTGGTATGCTGTTATGCAAATCAGTAAGAAACATCAAAAGGAACAGGCAGTTTCTTTGCAACCACTCTGTACTTAGTTGGGCAAGGTAGAGTTTCAGTACAAAAAAAACTTTATCGCTTAATGGAATAAGTATGATATGCCTTCAGATGATTTCGTTATGTTTTCGTGATTTCTGATTTTTTTACTATTTTAATAAACAAAAAGTGTGATAACTAAGATGCCATACGCTTGTAAATCAAGGGCAGGGATGGAATATCATCTATAGGCACATATAATTAGTCACAGGTAAAGAGACATCAGTTTTCATCTGCTCCTCTTCTTCTTTAACGCTCTCTCTTCAATGCTTTACAACGGACCACGACATCTTCTCAATCAAGAAAAAAGAAAAAAATAACACCAACAAGAGAAATGCTGATATCCAGAAAAAGAGGAGTGGATGAAAATTGATTTCTCGCGCATGAAAGAAAGGAAAAAATGGTGCTCTGTCTTCGTTTAGATTTATGACAATGGGAACAACTTTTTTGTTCTTTTTTTATTCAAAGGGACTCCTATCTTTGTTGTTCAGCTGGTGTTCAGATGCCTATTATTTCGTGAAATCGTCTTTGTATCGGTAAGTTTTAGTCAGTATTTTTACGTTTTGCGCTGAGTTACACGGCGTCATCTAGGAACCAAAAATACATACGGTAGTAAGTGATGGCAATAGAACTGGGTTGAGTGTTGGAAGCTGTACGATACGTTAACTCGTCTTAATTTGATGGACTTTTATAAGCAAAGTTGTTTTGCAGCTGGGGCGAAGTTTTTTGCAGCGGGGGGAAAACTTGTTTGCCGTGGAAGTAGGGGGGCGAACTTGTTTTGCTGCGGGGGGAGAACTTGTTTTACCGCGAGGGGCGAACTTGTTTGTTAGCGGGAGGTGGGGGGCGAACTCGCAAAGGTGTTAAGAGGCGAACTCGCACCGAGGTGAAACTTCTAGATATCTTTGTTGATTAAGAATATTTAAGTCGGATTTTACGATATGCATGTTAAATAGACTTTGTATTGAAATGTCGTCTGGGGTAATTGTTTCTTCTTTGTTATGTTATTTTAGGAACGTCGTTTCATTTTCAATTTTTTATTATGTTGATCCGTTTCGTTACATTTTCTTTCAGGAGGGAAACCATTTCCTTGTTTTCCTTGTTGTGTGGATTGGGAGTCATTCTGGTTTTCAGTGTTTTTATTCCCAGTGCGAAGTAAGTAATGATTCATTTAGCTCTACTCTCCCAGAATGAGCAAGCGTTGCAAGTTCGCGATCGTTCACCTGCCCATCATGTTTAATGAAAGGTGAGAGTCGACGAAGAGAGGAGGATAAGAGCAAATGCGAGGATTTGTTTTGCTCCTCCCGCTCCCTGCTATCAAGATTTAGCCTATCGCTCAACTGCCCTGGTAGAACTTTCTTCTTCTTCCAAACTTCCTCTACTTTTGAAATTCAAGATGCCAACGTAACTGTTCAGGAAGAAATGCTGGGCGCTCGCTTGCCAAAAGTACGCTAACACTACAAGTTAGACTTTTAATCCAAGTTTTTACAATTTCTATAGTGAGCCAATAAATAGGGTGTACAAAGGGTCCTCTCGGAAGAACCAGAGACCCCCAGAAAGCGAGTCAGTCTTGGGCCTCCTTCGTTTGGACCACAGCACCGAAAAGACCCTAATCAGGGATGCCCCTCGGGGTCAAATCACATTTACTCTGCTGGTTGATGCTACCACTGCACGAGAGGTAGTAAAGCTGCCTCTAATTCAAGCGTTTGCCGATGTGATTTATCCTCACAGCGGGTATGTTTATAGCAACTAGATTTGATAGGTTTTCCATCACCTCCCTCTGTGATTGGTCAAAAAAATCTGTACTTCCCTCTAAACCAATCAGATTAAAAAATGAAACCAATCGCGGCTTGGCTGCTCGCGTTTTCCCGCGCAGGAGTTAGTGTGCTGGTCTCAAGTTTGAGTTGTTTTCATTGGCTGGTTATGATATTTCCCTTCGTTGTGATTGGTCTAGAAACTTGCGCCACCTTCTCAACAATTAGATTCAAAACTGAAACCAATCGCGACTTAGTCGCCCGCGATTTCACGCGCTTGAGGAAGTTTGCTTGTTTGCAGTTTTGAGTTAAGAAATTTACCTGATTTTTTGTTTGTTTGTTTTATTTCTGTCAGAAACCCAAATTTTAGATTCACCTGGCTTTCAATAACTGACAACCTTGCGTGGTGTGCCGAGATTCTGGATGTGGACAAGTTTGGTGAAGTGACTCCTGGAATTGTTCTCGCCTTAAACGGCTACAAGAAATACTTGTCTGTCTTCAAACCGTCTGACCTTTCTGAGGGAGCCTTCTTCAAGAGGCAAGGAGGAGACTTAATGGGATTTGATGATAGTGATAGCGATACGGATGCTAACGAAGATGGAATGACGGAATACGAGAGAAAACGGCAAAAAGTTTTGAGTAGATCGATTCGAACACAGTTAGTACATTGGTTAGAGAGATTTTGCGACGGAATGGTGGACAGAAAACGAGTCGTCGAATGGCCGAGATTTACCGACTAGGGGTTCTTAGCAAGTAGCTAAGAGCATTTATGAGAAATCGCCCTAGGATTCAAAAAGTGCAGTCAGACCTTGAAAATCGACGAAAAATCGCTCGGCCACTTTTTGCTTTATGTCTACGTAATTACTAAAGAAAACTCGCCCACTTGGCGTTTTCAGCCTCAGTTGTCGTATTCTCAAACACCATCGAACTGTTGCATCCTTATTCCTCGATTTTTGTTACTAAATCAGTCTACTAACTACTTTCCACGATAGAGATGTCACTTGCTTGCTCACCATTACCCTTACGCTAAGGGAGGGTCTAGCAAAGAGACTGGATCCCACAGGCCCAACTCATAATGGTAGCCATCTCTCTTGATAACTTAAGATTTCGGAGATGTCCAGACGATCTCAGAAATCCTGTCGGCGAAAGTTTTGTGGAAATCTCTCTAATCCTTTTTAAACAATAAACAGTTTACAGAAATAATGTCACTCGGAAGAACAAAAATTTGAACCCAAGATATTTATTTAGAGGTTTTTAAGCCTCAAGTGAGAAGTTTTTTTTTTAATAAATCAAATGTACAGAATAAATTAAGTTCAAGTACTTGTGTCTGTTATGTGCCTGTACAAGGTTTGACAACTGATTGAATGATGTAAAGACACGAATGTACAGAAAAATAAAACTTTGGAAAGGGACGTGAAACTGGACGACATCTTGAAGTCGCAAAATTAGGAGTGACAAGTCTCTTGTGATTTATAATCCTTTAAACCCTACGAGTGATTAGCTTCTAATTTCTCCATACGATATCACCCCTGAATCGCACGTTAAGGTCAGGAGAATAAAGGAAATGATCGCAAACTTTTAAAGCTCTTGATTGACCAAATTCTCCTTGTCAGTACCATCCAAGGTGTATAGCGAACAGTATGGAGAATATGCATACTGATGTTAGGGTGTGAATAGTTAATACCTGACTGCACTGATGTGTGGCCCGGGCAAGTTTTTCACGGCTTTGCTACTCGGGCTGAAAAGTAAACGACGACCTGCTTGGAGTTTGATTCATGTAGACATAGCAACTGTTCAGATAAAACTACTGGTGCACTTTGGAATCTTTATAGGCAGCTTCCAAAGAGCCATTTTTCAATTACTCCAGAAGAGGAATGTTTTGAGACCGTTTAGCTCGAAACTCGACGCGCGGAAAATGATGACAACATTTTGACATTTTAGTCGCAGGACAAACGATTTCAGTTTTTAAGTGAACTAGTTAAATATCGGGGTGGGGGGGGGGTGGGGAGGGGTGAGGGAGCCCCTTAACTTTCCACCTCCTCCAGAAAAGTTCCCCGCTCCACTGGTTGTTTTTCCCCTTCTCCTCATCACCATTATTGGTGTGTTTTTATCCACTCTCTGTGATCCACACGAAGCCACGAACGGAAAGCTCAAAATTCAATAAGTTACAACCTTCCTGCAAAACGTGCATCCATAAATTGTTTGATTTAGTTTCTTCTCGATTCTCTTTTACTTTGCGCTCTTTTCTTCTGGGTGACTTTGACGTGAAGAAACGCGGGAGTTAGCGTGACGTCGAGGAATGGTGGCGATGTTACGTCTTCAACGATTATTACATAGTCACCTGTGGAAAGGCAAAAAGAAAAATTGTATTTTCACGGAAACCTGGAGCCAGACTAGAAAAAAAGAAGGTTAGGTAACTATTAAAAACGAAGCGTTACTAATGTTGGTCTTGATTGGTTCGTCGCGCGTAACTACGCTCTGTGATTGGTCTAAGAAAAAAACCCGCCACCATTTCAACCAATCAGATGCAAAGCTAGAACCGACCGCGACTTGGTCACCCACTTTTTCCCACGGTTTTTTCCTCTGAGTCCTCATTGGTTCTTTGAGATATTTCCTATCTTCTTATTGGTCGGTGTGTTATTGTAATCATTTTCAATTAGCTATCTTTTTTTAAAAGAATCAACTTCATTGAGAAGAGCTCTGTAGAACCGGAGACGAGGCCATTTAACTAACCAGGTTTACAAAACTTGTCATCTTTTTCCTCTTTCTTTTCCTTCTTCCTTTTCCCGTCTACTTTGTCCACCACATCAGCTAAGGCTTCTTTCTTCTTCCTTCCGTCTGAAACTGCCGACGAGGGAACACTTCGGTTGACAACTTTGAGCAAGTTCGCGTTCAGTAAAGGACTACGCTTGTCCTTTGATCTGAAATGAATGGAAGCTACGTTACGATTTTCTCCCAGAAAGTATAAAATACTATTTCGATAAGATAGAAAAAATATCAAAATGGGAACCATAAACCACTACGGCCAAGGAAGGAGACGATCGATTAGCAAGGATTGCGAATTAAAAACTTAAAAGTGATCTTTAAGTAGATTTCAGATTTTCACAATATCTCTATACAAGTACTACGATAGTTCTCGTGAAAAGCGCTATAAAAAAGAAATTGCCCCACCCCTCTCCTCTCATTCTTTTTGACCGTCACTCGCCCCCTTGGTACAAATTGCTTTCTTTCCCCATACTCCCACTGATGTAAAAATCTAAAATGGCTGTAATTTTCATGAAGAAAATACTGAGAACTCGCTCGCCAATTTCACGCCTGCGCTGTACGCTGTAACATTGAGAAAAAGAAAACTCAGAATAAATACAAACTGCCTGAAGCGAGGCTAGGGAAACGCGGGAAACGCGAGTGATCAAATTATGATGGTTTTAGATTTGAATTCGCTAGGTTTTAAGTTTTTAAACTAATCATTAAGCGTGGTAAGGAACACCAAAGCTTTTCTTAAAGATTTTCTCAAGAGGAAGTATCTAACGTACTTTGTATCTGCGAATTTTACGCCCGCTTGCATTTCAGACGGCGGAGATGCCTGTAGAGAAGCAAAACTGTTTAAGGGTTTCACCCCAGGGGGGAGGGGTGGGATGTAGAGATTTTCAAACAATGCTTTCCCTGCTGTAGTGCGCACGGGAGAAACAGGAGGAGGGAGAACTGCCACCGGAGGAACCATAAGAACACCAGGATCAGCTGAGTGTGAAAACAAACAAACAAATAAGCAAACAAACAAAATAAACACTTTCATTAGCCTTTGAGCAGGGCCTCGTTGTTATGCTGCGGCACGCGAGAAAGTTTGAGGCGAGCAGGCAAGAGACCTGCGAGGGATCTGGCACCCATTATTAGTGCAAGACCCGCGCTACTTAAGGCCTTTTAAACTTTCTCGCGGGCAAAAATCACTCGCCTACACTAAACGCCTGCTCGTACTCTATATTTCAGTCATATGGCAAACTCTAACTAGGAAGATTAAGCAAATTCAGATCTGCATTCTGATTGACTACCGACATTTACCTCTATAAGAGATGAAAGCTCCTTTTTTCCTTTTATTTTTTTGCGAATTTCAGGCAAATGCAAGTACGTGCTTTGCGAGAGTCACGCACAAAGGGAAAGTCACGCGCAAAGGGCAAGTCACGCGCAAAGGGCAAGTCACGCGCAAAGGGCAAGTACCGCGCAAAGGGCAAGTACCGCGCAAATGAAAATTTCTGTGAGCAGATGAAAATTTCTTTCCTGAATTAATATTTGCGCAATACAAATCAATAAATATTTTTGCTATTATTATTATTATATTATTAAGTCATGTGCTAGAGAAGCATTATAAAGTTTTCTTGACGAGTAACACAATAGCCTGTAGAACAGGCGTAATGTTTTTCGTTTTACGGCGAACGAAGACACGCACGAGTCGCACGCAAGGGGAGGAACATGATGAAAAAAAAAAGATCTTTTCCTTGCGTGTATCTCCCGCCCTTCGCGCGTGTCCCTCGCTCCTCTCGCTCGCCGCGGGCTTGCCTATGTTTGTCTGAAAAAAAGAAGAAATGGACGCTTGTTCTGCAGGCTAATCACATGAAGCAAAACAGTACAACCCTGGGCTATTTTAAACACCCAATTGAAGAACCCCATACAAAAGAAATCCCCTTACATGACCCATCTCCCTGAGTAGTTGCATTCTTGTCATAGCTCGCTGGCATCATGGTGCTGGCTTGAGATGGTGCAGCTGTTCTGCTTGGCAATTCACCATGAGCCTCAACAAATGAGCCATCCTTATCTCCAACATCAGACATATCGGTTACCTAGCAACAGGAAAACACCTTTAAAACACTTCATTAAAAACCACTTATAGGGAGCTCTTGAAGTTTCAGGAAATGTAATGCCATTTGTATCTTTAGATTTGTGGATCAAGATTCAGGTGTTCAGTTATTAAAACAAGGTGCAATAGTTGCAAAGTAGTGAAAAACATGAGTGAGGTCTGGGTTAGGTCGTGTAACAATTTAGAGTGTATTTACCTGTATATTTTCCATGGGTTTGGAAAGTTCCTCTGCATTTGGCGGTGATGCTTGGACAGGTCTGCTGGACATAACACTTGGGGCTTGTGAGGCAGCTCCTGGGAACACAGATTCACTTGATGCTATCTCTCCAAGCATTTCTGTTAAGGGGTATGGCTCTATTTCAAATCCGCTAAAGTAAAAGAAAACAAAATATATTTAAAAAAGGTCAAAGAAATGTCTTGAAGTCAGCATGCAAGCAGGGCCATCATTATCAGAACTACAGCATAAGTGTCTCTTTGCCTTTGAGAAAGTATGAGGCCTGGGCAATGCAAACCAACAAGAGGCCTACAAAGTGTTTAGCACTGATAATGAGGCAACAGACCCCCTGCCAACCTCTTCCTGACCCATCTAAAAGCTTCCTGCAGGCATCTGGCATCCTGCAAGGCTAATAAAGAAGGCCTCCTCACAGACTGTATTGAACTACGCTCCATTTCCAGCCATTTTGGGGGCATGGTTTTTCACCCTCCTTCCACGAAAAAGGGTCTAAAAAAGCAGGCTGAACTCATGGCCATACACCAGAGTTTTAAAATTGAAAGAAAAGTTTTCAAAAGGGATCAGATAAAAATGTCTACAGAATTTCATTGCCAATGATTCAAATACATCATTCATTTTAATTTCATTTTTCTTTTAAAAGATAGATATCTGTCATCATCATTTAAAACAAAGGAAAATAAAAAATCAACCTGATGTTTAAATAAACACACACACACGCTAGAAAAAAAATTTGAACCACAGAAATTATAATTTCATCAAGAAACATTTACCATTGAACCCCTAAAACCCTTAAAGTGACCAGCATCTAACTTCTCCTTACAATAATAGTGCAAAATCATACATTAGGATCATGAGAATAAAAGAAATGATCATCAAACTAGGAAGCTTTGATCATTACACAAATTCTCTTTGTCAATACCAAAGGAAATGTATAGTGAAGGCTAAGGAGAATCTGAATACTGATGTTAGGGTGTAAAGGGTTAAGGGCTCTTTTTTCACACTTACAATGGTGTCATAACTGTATCAAGGTCACTTTCACTGCCACCTGCTGATTTTCTTCCCGATGAAACTCTTATTCCAGCTGTAACCTGCAACAAGCGTCCTTCCTCTGAAACAAAATTCATTTCTTTCTCAATAATTCTACTTTAAATCCAAATGAATATGTCTGTAGCACGATTAAGTGGCTTTGACCCCAAAGAGTGACTAGCATCTAGTTTCTCCTTACAGTATCTCCCCTGAATCAAACATTAAGGTCATGAGAATAAAGAAAATGATCACCACTGTATCTTGATTTGTTTACCAATCAAGATCTTCTCCAGTTGATGATCATTTCCTATCTTCTCATGACCTTTAACCCTTTAACTCCCATGAGTGACCAAGACAGAATTTCTCCTTACAAGATCAATACAACATCAACCAGATGAGTGATGAGAATAAAGAAAAATATCAATTTGGGGATAATTAGTTGATCCAATACTAAATTCTCAGAACAAACATTGTAAAAATTGTATGGTTGACAGTAAGGAGAATTACAAATTTTATCTGGGAGTTAAAGGGTTAATGTGTAATTCAGGGGTAACACTGCAGGGTGAAATTAAATACTGGTTACTCCAAGGGGTTGGGAGGTTAATGTATCTAATAGCAAAAATGACGTAAATTTTTAGTCAATGTTGTTTTATATCCCATTAATATTAAATTCTAACCATTTGTTGGTTCCCCATCAGCTGTGACACACTCAACTTCAAATCCAAATGGTCTTCCTTGTGTGAATTCCAAATGATCATCTCCAGTTATACGGATCTGCACTGTCTCCACTAAAATTACAAATATTTCATTCACATTTTGTGGTTAAGGCTAAATTCATTTTAAAAATGTATATTTTTATTGGCTCACTAAGCATAGAGATATTGATTAACACTTCCACTTCCAAGATCTGATTGTTAATTCTCTCCTCTACCTGCTACAGATTTTCTTGTAGATTATTAACAAGAAAATGGTGTTACTAGTAGATCAAGATAACAATCTCTACCTGATAAGTTTGCATATTCTCATTACCTGTTTGCAAGATAATGTATAGATATTGTACAAAGAAGCTACATCTTTGTCACCTCTGGAGTTAAAGGTTTCGCAGCTTTTTAGAATCTTTACCTTCAGGTCTGCCATTAACCCACATTCCTTCATATGAGACACCAGAATTGTGAAACATGGATCCTTCACCATTGAAAACATCTCCCCACCACTGACCCTGTATGAGATGGTACAAAGAATGTGAAAATTAAAATACAATATAAGCTTTTAGTCAACATGTACAGGAATAGCTGACGTCACCATTAACAACCTTTAGCATTTTTATCATAAAAGGCAGCCAAACAGGTTCCATGTTGCTGTGGGTCTATACAATAAAAATCTCAGATGACGTCAAAATGTGGTATGAACACCTGTCATGTGAAATACTTAGCTATGCCTCAATTGTGTATCAGTCTTTTATTCTTACCACATTTGGATATCATCTGTGATCTGTTGTTGAATTCAGACCCATAGAAGCATGGAATAGACAAATGTAATTTTTTGTTGCATGGTATTTGGGTAATATGTTAAGAAAAATCATTTGTATCTACTGCATCACATTGTCCTTATTACAAACATATTTGCTATATTCCCAAACAGTACAATGTAGGTAAGATCAAAAGTGCCAAGTTTTCATAAAGCATCAGATATTAAAGAATTCTTTAACTACTATCAGTGCAAAATTCTCCTCTCTACCAAATTGCACGGGTCTGGACTATTCTCTATTCAGATTTCAAGCCATAATGAAAACTCTGACTGCATATTCTGAAACATAATTCACTCATCCCATTCTTCTGATCAAATGAAGCATTTAGTTAGGGAAGGAAGAGGGGTTTTTTTTAGTAATTTTTCTTTTATCCATGGCATTTTATCAAGAGCAGCATTTGTTGGAATTTTTTTTAACAATTATGAAAATTTCAACCACAGGTAGGGGAAAAAACTTTTTTTTACTGACCCCATAAATAGTTCCATCCACAAATTTCATGATTCCATGTCCTTGGCGCAAATCATTGACCCAGTCTCCTTCATAAACATCACCATCGCTGTAAACATTAATAAAAGAGAAAAGTACAAAATCGCAACATTTTCTCCAATATGCACAAGAATTGATTAATATGTAAGTTCTCCCAACAATATCCATACAATATCCAGAAAACAAGGTAGTAAGAATACTCAGATTTATCAAGTAGAAGTTGTTTTACTTAATCTAACTTAATCCAAATTCTCATAACTTATTTACAAGGCAATGTGTGGCAGCTAAAGGGGGGAATTAACAACCAGATCCAAGGAGTTATAGACTGATTTAATCTGTTTCATAATTAGTTATTTGGTTATGAAGTGCACTGTTTTTATGAGAAGAAATATCTGTTTTCTCCTCCCAAATTTGTAACAAACTGGGTTTCTATCTTTTAGCCAAGTATATTGATGAAACTCATTTGAAAAGTCCAAGATTACCTATTACTAACAATTACTCAAGACAATGATTTTTAGCAGTTTATCTTTCGTAAGATAAGCTGGTTAAAAGAAACATTTAACTATTAACACCCTAACATCAGTATGCATATTCTCTATAGTGTTCTGCATGCATCTCTTAAGGCACTGACAAGGAGAAATTCTTAACCCATCAAGAACTTCTTTAGTATGTGATCATTTCCTTATTCTCATAACTTTAATGTTTGATTTAGGGGTGATATTACAGGGAGAAATTATATATTAGTTACTCTAAGGGGTCACAGGGTTAATTTTTACTATGTATGCATTAGCATTATCAAACCTTAGGATCCATTTTCCTTCACCATGTCTTCTGTGTTTGTGGAAAGATCCCTCATAGATAGATCCATCTTTGTTGGTAAGTTTACCTTCTCCTGTGATAAAAAATTGATAGAATGGGAGAGACGGTGAATTCTGAGCAATTCTTTCTGTTTACACTGCAGATCAAGAATTGATGATAATCAATTGATAAGGTTCGAGAATCTACTTCAGAGATGAAAATCATCAGTAACTAGAAACTCATTACTAAGTATCAGTTTAACAAAAGATTCCATTTTGCATGTGTATCTGTCCAGTAATAGATCACAGATGACATCAAAATGTGATAAGAACAAAATAAATGGCAAATGAGGTACAACCAAGTGTATCACACATGTTCTTACCATATTTTGATATCTTCTGTGATCTATTACTGACAGTGACTGAACAAACCCAGGGCAACATGGAATCTGTTTGTTTCATATAAAAAGGAAAAGGATGGTGACATCATCTTTGCGTCTTTCCTCCAATAGGTCATAAGAAGAACCAAGCAAAATCCATATATGATTCATCTTATCATATTAGATTTACCTTATTAAAGTAAATGGTTTGAACCTAGGAGTATCAGTAGTTCGTATAGTGTGATCGTCTGGGTGAGTGTAGTTCTGAAAAGAACTGTTGTTGGTGACTGATGTTTCAACTACCTGTGCGGAGGTATGGATTGAAACCGACCAATGACTGTTAACAAACTCTGCACGAGTCTTCCAGCCAATCACATCATGGCTAAACAGACCAATCACGTTCAACAGACCAGACTTTATAACATCATCGACTGACAACTACTCTTCACTTGACTCTGAAGATCACTTGACTCTGAAGATGACTTCCGCACAGGTAGTCGAAATGTCAGTCACCAACAACAGTTCTTTTCAGAACTACACTCACCCAGACGATCACACTATACGAACTATAGATTTACCTTCCCGCCGATTTTCAATCCATTCTCCTTCATATCGTGATCCATCGCCATATACCATTACTCCATGGCCATTCAGTTCACCTTTAACAAACTGTCCAGTATATTCATTCCCTGTACTGGCCCAGCGGCGGAATCCATGCCCCTGGATTTCCCCGTCAATGAACTGTCCTTCATAGAAGCTGCCATCAGCCATCACAAGCTTACCATGACCTTCAAAAGATTTAAAAGTATATTTTCAGAATACCATTTGAATAATTGCGTGATCATCAATTCATTTGAATTTTTTAACAGTTAAAGACTTATAGAAATCTATATTGTATTTAAATCCACCGAAAAAGGTGTAATAAAAACCCAAATTTTGAGAAACAAGCTTATTTGCATTCATGTACGTACTGTAAAAAAGGTTAACATAATGATTTATTCAGTTAAATCCTACCATGTTTCTTCCCTTTGCTCCATTCCCCCTCGTATCTGAAGAACTTGTTGGAATAATTGTATACTCCAAATCCTTAAAAATAGCATAACATAATTAGAAAATAAATCGTGATTGTTGATGTTTCGTGTAGCTCTTGGTAAAATTAAAGGGATAAAAAGCGAACGTTTTTACCATCTCTGAGCTGCTTTTTGGTTTCTCCGATGTAATTTCCTGCTCCTTTAGATGTTGTGGTGTTCAACAACGTTGCCATTTTCTGCAATAAATTAGTAAGCAAACTTTATTTTGCCATGTTGCAGATTGTTTACAGGAATCCAAGCAATCGATCCGCCATCTTTGTTTTCGAGTGGTTGCTAAGCGCACAGGCGCACACGTCAGCGGATTTGATCGCGTAATACATTCAAAATGGAGGACGTTGGAAAGTGAACTTCGTGCATTTTTACAGCGGAAAAACTTTATTAGAATGGAAGAATACGGCAAGGATATCATTCAAGGAACGTGTTTAGAGATGTGTCCTGCAAGTGAAATTTCTGCCAGAGAGAAACAGCGGAGACTTCACTTCTTTGAAACTGTTGCTTTTACCAGTCCATCTCGTTGTAGTGAACACCATCTTGGCAAGTTGATTGCAGATCCCCGAGCAGTTATAAGGGAATTTTCGCGCTCAGCAGCGGGAAGATCTATTGATCCATCAGAACTACGACCAGCTAATGTCCTTTTAAGCACCATGAATTACTTAATCGAGGAAATCGCCTCCAAAGATAATACCTATTCTTGGCAAATGATATACTGGTTTATATTCGACCGAGCAAGAGCCATAAGGCAAGATTTGGTAGTCCAGAGAATCACTGGAAAACTTGTGATGGAAATCTTTGAAAGAATTTGCAGGTTTCATATTTTATCGGGTTACAGACTGTGTGAAAGTCCACTAGATGCTTTTGATCCAAAAATTAACAATGATCACACAAATGAATGTTTGAAGAGACTTCTGTGTTTCTATGACGAGGAAGACCCTTCTGCTTATCGAGACACAAGAGCAGAATTTGAAGCATACTACCTCTTGCACAATCTGGGCTCTTTTGAAGCCTTAAATCGCGCTGTGAACTTGCCGAAAGAAGTCAAAAACAGCTGTCTATTACGGCTAGCTTTTGACATCACGACATGCATAATGCTTAAGAACTTTGTTCGATTCTTTAGGCTGGTGAAAAGGCTGCCATTCCTAGCATGCTGTGCTGTTCATAAACACATGCAACAAGTGAGAGGAGATGCTCTCGCTGCCATCAACACCGCATACTTTTGTCGCAACGCAAGTCTGCCCTTGGCCCTGCTTGTTGACATGTTAAATTTCGATAACGCTCAAGATGCTGGTGAATTCTGTTCGCATTTTGGTATGGAAGTATCGGGAACATCTGTGAAGCTTGTCAAAGGCAACTTGAACAGTTTAAAAAGCAGCGATGCTCCACTAATCAGAGCAAGATTTTCAAATTTGATAGATACCAAACTGACCGTAACCACTCGTGACTTACTGAATGGGAAATGTAGTGAAACTAAAGCACTTGTCAAAAGCTCAGTCCCTGAGTTGGTTTCTCTGACCTTTGGGAAAGGAATTTGCATCGACCAAAATGCAGCCATTGTAGAACCTCGTTCAGTTGTTAAACCAGCGTTTAATCCGCAGAAACAAAGCTATTTTGGCAGGGGAAGAGGACGAGGCAGAGGAAAAAAGCCAGTTTATTAGCTATCAAACCTTTTTTCACGGTCGTCCTTTCCAAGCATTCAGTTAATTAAACGAGGCGCGATGGTGGCGGAGGAATGGAAAAACGAGAGAGGCTTGGGTCGGTTCGCGTCCTAACCTCCCTCGTTTTCGCTCTGCCGCGATTAAAGCGCGCGTTTACCATTTCGCTCTGTTTTACCAAGTGAGCGCCTAGAAAGGGTTGGTCCTTGTATTATGTAAATATATTTTTATAGATCATTCAATACTTATGGTAAACGTTCGTATTTTAAAAAACCTTGGTATGGAAACCATAAATTTTCTCGTATGCTTTAGTCTGCAGTTTTTGGCAGAATTTGACGAGATTTCGTGCGACCAAAGCCATTATAGCTTTATGCAGGGCGTACAATTTGAGCGAATTTACGCTGCCCTGCCTCTTAATTTTACCGCTGTAGTGTAAGATACTATCTACTACAAGTAGTCCCTCCTTTTCGGCGAAGTCCGTCTCACGAGTCCAAAAAAATTAATGAAAAAATTTTGACTTTCGCGCGCTTTTTGGACGTCGCCGAAAACGAAGAACTGCTCGTAGACTAACGATATTATCATTGTGGCATCCACGATACGCGACGGAAAAAAAAGAAAAAAAAGACCTGTGCATGCCACACTGAGCAGACTGGTAGACGTATGGTTATTTGTTAACTGTAAAAGTGAGTTTGTGAATTCAAATGACAATTTAACTTGAGAACTGAAAATTTTTAGATAACCTTCCAGTTGAACGTCCTTTAATAAACGTTTCAACAATAATCTCCAACATCTTTGTCATTTATTAACCCTTGAAAGGGAATCAGGGGAGAGAGAGAGAGAGAGAGAGAGAGAGAGAGAGAGAGAGAGAGAGAGAGAGAGAGAGAGAGAGAGAGAGAGAGATTAAAGGGCACTTTTGCAACGTAAATTCGGGCACTTATGTCACGTTAGGGCACTTTTGTCACGTACCTAAGGGCACTTTTGTCACGTTAGGGCACTTATGCAACATACCATAGGGCACTTTCGTCACCTTAGGGCACTTATGTAACGTACCATAGGGCACTTTCGTCCCTGTCTCCAGTTTTTGTGTCTCGTATAAAACTGAAGAAATGAAATCTAAATCAAACATAGTTTTTTGTTTATTTAGAAATACAAACAAGCCTACAAGCAGAGTCACTCTCTGCAATCTTCATGCTGATTCACAACTTTAACGTAACCTGTTTCTCGTGTAACGGCGTGAAAAATAGTTAATTTTATCGTTAGGTAAGGCATTTTTTTAATATAGAATCCATTTATCAGCATATTTGGAACATTTTAAGCGATACTTGCAAAAACAGTGGAGGGTTCCTTCAAACGTAACCTGTTTCTCATGTAACGGCGAAAAAGTCAATCTACATTGAACGTACTTTGCTTTCTCTTTAGAGATAAAACTAACCTATAAGCAGAGTCACTCTCTGCAGTTTTCATGCTAATTAACAACTTTAACGTAACCTGTTTCTCATGTGACGGCGGAGAAGTTAATCCACATTGAACGTAATTTGTTTTCTCTTTACAAATAAAATTTAACCTATGGGCAGAGTCACTCTCTGCAGTTTTCATGCTAATTAATAACTTTAACGTAACCTGTTTCTCATATAACGGCGAGATAGTTGATCTATATTTAACGTATTTTTTTTTATTTTTACAAATACAAACTAACCTTTAAGCAGAGTCACTCTCTGCAGTCTTCATGCTAATTCACAACTGTAACGTAACCTGTTTCTCGTTTAACGTAACCTGTTTCTCGTGTAACATTGACCGTACTTTGCTTTCTCTTTAGAGATAAAACTAACCTACAAGCAGAGTCACTCTCTGCAGTTTTCATGCTTATTAATAACTTAAACGTAACTTGTTTCTCATTTAACGGCGAGATAGTTGATCTACATTTAACGTAGTTTGTTTTCTCTTTAGAAATACAAACAAACTAATCTATAGGCAGAGTCACTCTCTGCAGTTTTCATGGTAATATAATATCTTAAACGTAACCTGTTTCTCATGTAACGGCGAGATAGTCGATCTATATTGAATGTATTTTTTTTTTCTTTTTACAAATACAAACTAACCTATAAGCAGAGTCACTCTCTGCAGTCTTCATGCTAATTCACAACTTTAACGTAACCTGTTTCTCGTGTAACGGCGTGAAAAAAAGTCAATTTTAAACATACTTTGTTTTCCCTTTAGAAATATAAACTAACCTTTAAGCAGAGTCACTCTCTGCAGTTTTCATGCTAATTAATAAGTTTAATGTAACTTGTTTTTTATGTAACGGCGTGAAAGTTAATCTACATTAAAAATAGATTGTTTTCTCTTTAGAATACAAACTAACCTACCAGCGTCGTCACTATCTACGGTTTTCATGCCAGCCTTACAATTTAGCTGACAAAAAGCGTTGCTTGGCAAATTGTTCATTTCTTCTGATTCAACCTTCTCTCGTATTTCAAACGATTGATTATTTGCTTCAATTTGAACTCGTGTAACATCGCTTTCCCCTCCTCCTCTTTGCCAAGCATATCTTTGACGGCAGTTTGGGATATTACCCCTGATTTTACCATGCCACCACATACCTTAAGTAGGTACTTCCTGTGATCATCACTAAAGATGTTCCTCGACACATAGCTTGAATTTGAAGGAGGTACCATCGATACACTGCTCTCTTCATTGGAAAAGAAGCGGGACATCTTGTCGGCTAAAGAGTCACTTTCTTTGGGCAGTTCAGGACTTTTTGGGGGCTGTTCAGCTGAAGGTTTGTCGTCATCAATATCTGAAGGTTGGGAGTTGCTTTTGTCATTAAAGCGCCACTCACTTCGAATCTTGTCATAGACCTTTCTTGGGTGAAGAAGACGGAGGACGGGATGCTCTTGAATCTTTTCCCTCACTTCTGCCATGGTAATTGATTTACTTTCAATTTCTGTGAAAAATACATCTTTTAAAGTAGCCACCTGTTCCTCGTCCCACAGCATGCGCTCCTTGTTGTTTCTGTCATCGGCTTCTAAAGGGACATCGTGAGAAGTCGTAGCGGTTGGTAGGGTATCTTCTACGCCTTTTTTCGGTTCAGCCGATCTCATAATGGTGGGAAGGCTGCTTGCCGCTTGTACGCACGCTTCCTCTTTCTTTTTAAGTCGGTAAAATCTCTCAGCTGTCCCTTCTTTATGCGCCATGAGGTCGGCCAGATCTGATTTCATTCCTTTATGTCGTGTGTGCACTTTGGTGACTGCTGACTTGCGAAAAATAGTTGATGTCACGTGCCCTTCCATTCCTCCCTTCCTCCACGCTGCGTTAATGGCAGTGGATATCTGGCCGGACTCTAATTTAGAACCATTCCAAGACAGGAACACACTTCTTTTGTTACTTTCATACTCTTCACTTGTGGAATCTTCCATCTGGCTTCGCATTTCACTGACGTACAATCTTAAATACGAGAACAGTGATAATGACAACACCACGCGTGCCGGGCCGTGAGTATCCGCCGTTTTGTGGTCCTTGACGCTTATGACCATGCTATCATCCACTCTCTTTGCCGCCTTATATTCTTCCAGTGTCATATTTGCCAACACACCAGAACGGTGTG